ATATATATATATAGTCAACGCCATAATGCGTCCACACCTGCTAACTAAGCACACTGTCACGCTTCAGTGACCCTTGACAAAAAACACAGTGAGAGATTCCTTCACATTGCTAACCTCTACAGCTGGTGCCGTTGATCTGCTGGTACCCTCGGGGACAGGTACACGTGTAGGAGCCCATGTTGTTAACACACTCCCCCACGGACTTGCATGGCTCGTCTTCCTCCAAACACTCATCCACATCTGCCGCAAGCACAAATCAGTGACTGTTGCAGCAGAGAAAAAATCTCTTGGTGATACATTTTCATCTTCACACTGAAATGCAAATAACTTGAAGAGAAATGCAGTGGAGACATCAGATACAAGCGCCCCACTTATTTTTTTGCTTTCACTTGTCAGCATAAATTTGATGGTTCAAGTGACCGCACGGCATCTCATTTGACAACAAGCAGGAGTCTGGAAGATGGTAAACAATTCATCTAAACAGAAGCTGCTTCACGCCATACCCAATTAAAGTTGATGGACAAACTAAAGGCAAAACGAAGACAATTATGGGAATGGGGAAAGACGATTTGCGATGAGTGTTTTGAGTTACAAGAGTGGTGACGGAAGTAGTTCAACTTGAATCTGAGAGACCCGCTGTATATTTGGATTGTAGGCAGACTACAAACAAATTGAACAATTTCAAGTGCGATAAGAATACCTCAGCTTTTGCAGTTCCTGACATTTCAAGATTTGAGAATGGCGCGAAAGGAGCTAGTTCGCCTGGTGGCATAAAAATGTGATGTAGCACTCAGTTACCACTGTACATGCTGTTTTGAATTACCGTATTTTCTGTACTATAAGGCACTTCGAATTATAAGGCGGAACTTCATTGAATGACCTTTTTCATTTCAAAACTGTTTTCAAATATAGGGCTCACTGTCGGTTTTTGGGACAATTGAATATTTTTAGGTGCGCCTTGTAGTGCGGAAAATACGGTAGATGATTTTATATTTACCGCGAGTATGACCTCTCGGTTTGCATTGGTTAGTGATAGACTACAGCAGGGGTCCCCAACCTTTTTTGCCCCACGGACCGGTTTATGTCAGACAATATTTTCAGGGACCGGCATTTAAGGTGTGGCGGAAATAATACAACAAAATAATATGGTATGAGCTGCATGAAAACTGTGGTGTTTTCGAAATATAATAATAAACACAAGGAGCGTCTAATCTGGCCGCAACACTCCAATCGCTATGGCAATGTTTAATGCCTTCAAAATACGATACAACGCAAATTCAAAGTGCATGAAAATGACGACTCACCACAGCACCGAGCTTGATTTTCTGCAACCAGACGGTCCCATCTCGGGGTAATAGGAGAGACAATGACACCGCAAGTGTGTGGTTTATGTCCAGTCTACTTCGTAATTTTGTTTTCGTCGCCGTTGCTGCATAATCCCCCCGCCTCACACAGGTAGGATGTCGGAAATAGCAAAAGTGCTATTGTGGCGATCTCAGAGTATTCAGACATAACTTTAATCCAGTTGTCTCGAACGTACTTTTAAGGCCGCCGTCATTTGCGATCTCCAGCAGTTTTTTTACTCATTTTGCGAGCTCCGGTGTTTGTTTTTAGCCTAATTGGTCGCGTTACGGAGAAGCGTGGCTTGACGTGTGTCAAGCTGGACACAGACGGATGTAACGGAGAATCCGGTAAGTTTTCAAAATAAAACATCTTTCGTATTCCGAAATAAATAAAACGGAATTAAGGCAAGTTCTTTCTGTGCGGCCCGGTACCAAATGCCCGGCGGACCGGTACCGGTCCGCGGACCGGCGGTTGGGGACCCCTGGACTACAGCATGTTCCAACTTGGAAACCACCATAGAAAGAAGTCTCCATAGTAAACTGAGAGTCCTCTTCAAAGAATATGTTTTAATACTGTTTAAATGATTTGCACTGTCGGACTACATAATGCCCTACATATACTGTACCATCACACTGGTCACCAGAGAGAGACACGCTGAAACCTGGCCCACACTGACAGACGAAGGAACCTTCAGTGTTGATGCAGTGGCCCCTGGTACAGACACGTTGATCCTGGCACTCATCTATATCTGAAAAATGCACACCAATAAACAGGTATGTGAAAAAGATAAAAATCAACAATGGATTTAGAAAAAGTCAAATTCACATAACCTGGCCTTATAATAGCTTATTGTGAAAAGTGCAATCATCCATCCATCTATTTCAGAAAGCACTTGCCCTCTCAAGGGCTGCATCTGAATTGGAGCCTATCCCAGCTCACTCTGGGCGAGAGCAGGGGTACGCCCTGGACTGTCTGCCAGTCAGTTGCAGGGACAAACTCTATTTTAGAGTCAGACTCACACCCATGGAAAAGTTCTATAACATAACATAGATGTTTTTTGACGTGTGTGAGGAAGTCAGACTATACCGGAAAAAAAAAACAAAAAACATGCAAGCAAAGGCAGAGCATGTCAACTCCATGTGGGAAGGCCTGAGCCAAGATTTGAACCGAGGATCACTCTACTGAGAGGCAGACATTAAAAAAAAAAAAAAAAAAACAATAACAACACTGGCACACTGCCGATTAGCCAAGAGCAATCAATGAATCAGTTTAATTCAACGCTGCACATGAACACTGTTGTAGACATACTACACCATTTGCATACTGTTGAGATAGCAGTCATGCCAGCATCAACAACATAAACAACTGTATGACTTCGCATTAGCTGAGGATAAAGAGGCTCCGCAGTAATAGAATTAAAGTTGCTGTCATCACCCTTTGCGGTGCAGCTACTTTTACCACGGCTACCACACACACAGTTATGCTCATTTGGCTGAAACATGCAAACCATCTGTGAGCTGCCTCGTTCAGTTCTATAAATGACCCTGTAGCATGGTATATTTCTTTCCTGTCACCAGCTCCACACAGCGGTTTGACTTTCCTTGCACTATAGAGAAGCCACAACCTCACATCACATTCTCGGTCGCGTAGAAACTCCAAATGAATGAGATTGCCTTTCAGGTGTTTGCAATATGGGAAGAAGATGCACATGAAGCGCTGACTATAACTAGCGCATGCATGCACGCATGTACCCACTCACTCACAAATATGCCGGCAGTACTGGACCTACCTACACACTGGCCTCCCTGAGCCAAGAACCCAGGAGGGCAAGAGCCGCAGTTGTAGCCCCCAGGGATGTTAATACAAATGCCAGACGGACACGCTGTGCTGATTGCGCATTCATTGATATCTGTAAAAAAAAAAAAGAAAAACGAATAAAATATATGAATAACGGAAAGTATCACCCCCACAGACAATTTTACATTCTACTCTTTGGTATAATATACCATAAATCAGTGATTGTCAAAATGTGGAACTCAGGCTCACTCTAGTGCTATTTAAAAGAATCACTTCAAGTACAGTTCCGTTGCATTATTTTTTTTAATTTGTTGTTAACTTATTTCATTTGCATTTTAATAATGTTACAATAGCTTACAATGATATTTTCATCAACACATAGTCCTACGATTACTACTATGTATTTTAATGTCGGTTCATTGACGAGGTACTTTTTTAGGTGGTACAGTACTTATTGCAGAAGTGTTGAGAACAATTCCGATAAATGACATACAGAATTATGGAGCTGAGATTAACGCTTGGTTTACATTTGACGCACGTACGTCCTGTGCAGAAATGAGACGTGCGCAATCAGGCAAACAACTTTTGCGGCATTTATAGTCTGCGTGACTTGCCCCAGCTGCAGACATAAACATCTACAGCACATGAATGACACTTCACTCCAATAGAAGTAGAAACTCCTGCTTTTTTGGTGTTCAATGATAAGCATCAGTTTGGGGTGAACAATAAACAGTACATACATTTAAAAAAAACAAATGAAAAAGAATCAGGAAGTAGAAAACACGGTTATTTACAACAGCTCTAACTCGACAGCGGTGTGGACCATCTGCAAAGTTACAAATTTTCACAGGTGCATAGATGGCAATGGCGAGTGATGAAAAAAGCGGAAGGGGCATGGCCTGGCCGGGGGCGTGGCCTGGCCGGGGGCGTGGTTACTTATAAAAGTGGCACTAAACATGCTGAAGATAAAGTGTATTGAATTTACACACTATTTGAAAATTGAACAGAAAAAAATCCCAAAATCGCCACTATTCTTTCAAGTGAAAAGTTGTGCAATTTTGCTTATGCATTCCTGGTGAGCATATGTAACTCCAGATTTGCTGCTCAAAATCAAAACTAAAAAAGTAAACACATTCCCTGCCATATTTAAGATTTGCTCATGACTTGTATTCATAAAGTGTTGTGTAAATGTGATAAAAAGCTGTTGATTCTTACCTCATACAGTGATAGTGAATATTTATTATGCATACAATTTATTATGCATAACCGTGCTTTATTATCCAAGACAAAACGTGAATTATCAATATGAATATAAAACGCAAATAAAAACAAATAAATGTTATCATGCTGTTGCTACAAATGCATACCAAATAAAATTGAAAATATCATCCTCGTATATTTGAATAAAAAAGTATATACCTTTAATTTCTAGGATTGAAGACTCCTGATCTTCAAAAAATTCTTAATTCCGCTCAAAACGATCCCAGAACAATGAATTTGCGAGACGAACAGGCCGCCATGAATCATGTAAAACAATATGTTACATGCAATTTGATTGGTCCAAGCGCTTGTAGTTAACCAATCGCTGGGCCCTATATAATCGAGCTAAGACTTCCGCAACAAATAATGCCTTCAGTGATCTGATTAGTTGAAGTTTCATACACGTCCAATCGCAGGGCTGTTTACAAACGGAAAACGGAGAGACTGTTCGGGAGAGCTCGTGAAAACTCGACGATAAGGTACCTGACCGCCCCTAAAATTTTCTCAACGGATTTAGACGATTCACAAAAATGATCAATTTAAGAAATAAAACGGCGGATTTCCGCGGATCCGCGGAAAATTGCCATCTATGCAGGTGTGCAAGGTGGAAAATTTGAGCAAATGCGCATTTGCCATGTGCCACGTGGACGGGCGTGGTTGCTGAAATGATATGATTTTGCCACATGGAGCCATGCGGACCTTGTGCATACGACAATCATAAACTAATCTTAACTCTCTTGGATTAACAACAGTTTTAGTTCCACAACTGTTGTGTCTTCACATAACTGCACATAACTACCAACAACTACAAGAAAAAGGTACTTTAAAAATGTTTTGCATCATGAAGCTTTCATTGTTTGTTTGGAAAAACAACATCGAATATGGTAGCCCAAATAGCATGTCAGAGTAAGTCAAAACAGTAAAGCAGCATCTTGACAACCAATATAGCGAAGCTCATATTAGACTGCATGAAAAAGTCAAGAAGCTGAGAGACTCGGAGTTAGTCATTCGGCCCAGATGCCCCCCACCCCCAACCCGGTACAAAAAAGTGTTCAGTGTATTATAAATCAATGGATGGGTTGCATCTGTTTCGACCATATCCTGTCTAAACCAAAACATATCCTCAAAAAGTTATAACAGCATCCTTTTCTCACCACTACGGAAGAGGGGAGGTTTTGGTTGAGTTTTGGGGTGATGACCATCAGCTAGTTTGCTCTTACAGCTCCAATTCAGTTTCCTCTTTGTGGTTGGGGAATTCTGTGTTGAATTGGCAAGAAACCACAAAATGACTGACTACCTCATATTTATATCAGAGTAAGAGCGAGGAAGCAGGCAGCAAGGAGGTGCAGATTTTAGTAACAGTGTGGTCAGCGTGGTTCCATCCAAATTTCCACCTACTTTGAATTCTCTTGATACTTACTTGATAGTCTATGGAACTTCTGTGTGACCCAGTGCTTAATCAGATGGAAGGCTTTGCTGAGTCACACAAGACTGACTGTTTTTACTTCCCAACTGGCTGCGTCCTGTCTTTCAGTTGTATGGGTAATCTCATCCTTTTTTCCACGAATCAAACGCTAAATTCCACGACGTGAGTTTTCAAATCGAATCAAGTGAAGGTACAGACAAGGAGGCCTTCGTAAATGGTGTCGTAATTGGCATTTTTAGTCTTTCAGAGAAATTCCGGAAGACTCAAATGCCGATTTTCCAAAAAATTAAATACCCACCACGAGCTGCATAACTTGGTGTAATCATGCTGGTGTCATCAACAAAAATTAGGATGAAAAATGCTGGTCACGTGACGATAACTATTACTAAATCGATCATGCTAAAATATCTTTTCATTGTCATTAACGAAAACAAGAGGTGATGAAATCTCAGGTATGTCACAAAATGTCGTGTTATTTCTGGAATCTGGGTCACAACGCCTTTTCCTCAATTCCGATGAGCGATATGTTATTTGGATCAGAAAAAAGAGGATGGAATTTACTTGCAGGTAATTGAGCTCATTCACCTGCCGGTTGAGTAGCTAAAAGCCCAATTCTGGCAGCGCTTTTACTTTCTGGACTGGAATTTGCCACCTCTGCTAAAATGTCATCAGTCATCTTTGACTAAAACATCATCAGTTTTCATCAACTAAAACTACATTAAAATAGTCATGGAAAATTCAGATTAAAATAAGAATAAGACTAAAATGCTCAGACTTATAGTTGACTAAAACCTGACTGTACTAAAAACAGTATGAACATGACCCAAACTATTGAAAACTCAAGTGACAGATTGATACGAAGACCCGACTAAAACTAAAACAGAAATTGAAATTGAAATGCTCATGCCCAGTATCTGGTTCTGGTTTGTCGCGTGTGTGGTAGAACAGATTCACACACTGGTAAATGTGTCAACTAAGATAAAGACATAAAGAAAACATTTGTCTTGTCAAATGGATGGTGTACTTAATGAAAATGTCAGGAAAAAACGTCACATACTGACCTACACAAGCGGTTCCCATGTCGTCAACAAGGAATCCTTGTGGACACACACAAAGGAAACTACCCTCGGTGTTTTGGCACCGACCACCGGAGCACAAAGATGGGGTCTCCAAACATTCATCTAAATCTGAACAAACAATAGAGCATAGAATCTGTTTAGAAAAACAATAGAATCATATGGGGGGAAAAAGCCATAATTGAGTATTCAGACTAAAAAGAAAACACCCAAATCCATATAAGCAATAAATTTGTCTTTTTCCTTTGGTTTTAATGCAACTAAATAAAATAAAATAAAATACAGAACTAAAACTCCGCACTGTCGTATGTTGTGCAATTGGGTTCAGTTTTGCGTTTTCCATTGTATTTGCTGCCCCTTGGTTCCATCTTAAGAAAGCGTGGTATTTCCTTTCACTGCTATGCTGATGACAGTGAGATCTATGTCCCGCTAACCAAAGAGGACACTTCCTCCTCAAGGCCACTTTTGTCCTGTCTGGAGGAAATGAAAGCCTGGATGTCACTGAAATGCTTCAAATCCAACGAAAAGAAAACAGAAGTTTTTGGCTCCAGTGCCGCTTGTACATCTCACTCTCTTGACTTGGACCTGGAATACTGTAATGCACTTCATTTTGGAGACTGCCAGTCCTCCCAAAGCAACTCCAGTTGGTCCAAAATACTGCTGCTCGCCTTCAAATTGGAGCTCGGAGTGGGAGCACATAACTCCAATTCTGGCCTCCGTTCACTGGCTCCCTGCGTATTTTGGAGTTCATTTTAAATCTCCAAATTATTTTATTTGTCTTTAAATCTTTAAATGGTTTCCCCCAACTCACCTATCCGAGCCCTTCCATCCCAAGGGCCCTGCCCGGTGTCTTAGGTCAGAGGACCAGATGCTACTTGAGGTTCCGAGGACGAAGGGGGGGGATCAGAGGAGCTCAATCTTTTTTTTTTCCCTTCCCTTTGGAATGACCTCCCATTAAACGTTGAGCAAGTCCCCACTCTGTCCATCTTTAAGACTTGTCTTAAAACAAATCTTATTCTTTGGCTTTTTGACTCATCATTCGACTTGTTTGTTTTACTGTGTTTACTGTTTTATGATATTATTTTATTGTTTTAACTGTCGTTGTTTCTTTGTTTTTGTCTTTGTTAGGAGTGCAGAGAGAGTTCTGTGTCCTCCTCTAGGGCTGACGAAAACCATAACCGGATATTTTTCTCTCTACTTAATTGGTATTAATTACCACATTAAAGACCAGGCCGTAAAAATACAGAGAAAGGTCATTTGTAATGTCATCGGAATGTCATACAGTATAAAAATGCTGTATTTTTGTTTCAACATGACAGTTCACCAGCAATTTTCTTTTTAAATTCAAAGTTACCTTTTACATTTCCCTATCCATTCACACCTGTTTTCCCTCATTTGAGTCATGGATAACTGAAGCCTATCCTCGCTGACATTTTGCTAATTAGACAAACATTAGAACAATGTATACAATATAGAAAGAATGAAGCAAAAAAAAAAGTAGCAAACACCATTCTGTCCATATAAAAAGACATGATGATAAAGTGATCTTTAAACTTAATGGCCTTAGCATTTTACACTCACCCACACAAGAGGTCAGTGTATCACTCAAGCGGTATCCCTCATTACAATGGCAGGTGAAGCCTTCGGCTGTGTTGTAACAAAGCCCCTGGCCACAGATATAAGGGTTGATCTGGCACTCATCCACCTCTGTTTCAGAAGGAAAGGAAAAAGAAAATTATGACACCAAAATCCCATATATCGTGTCATTAACTGATGATTAACTGTAATAATCTCAGATCTATCTCTATCTACACTATATAGACAGATAGATAGATAGATAGATAGATAGATAGATAGATAGATAGATAGATAGATAGATAGATAGATAGATAGATAGATAGATAGATAGATAGATAGATAGATAGATAGATAGATAGATAGATAGATAGATAGATAGATAGATAGATAGACAGATAGATAGATAGATAGATAGATAGATAGATAGATAGATAGATAGATAGATAGATAGATAGATAGATAGATAGATAGATAGATAGATAGAAATATATATATTAGCCCCCCCACTCCACCCAAACCCAGGGATGTCATTTTAAAAGATCAACGTAATAATAATAATGTATTCAATGAATTGATTTGTACTGTGATTGAGAGGTTCTGTTGTAATATTTAAGAATGTATTACGCATTAAACCACATGCGCCAAGACTTCGACCTGGTTTGAGCAAGCGGAAAGTTCAGTCTCCCTACAAATGAGTGCATCATACCTGCAGATTGAGTCGGTGCAATGTCTTGGCCTGCATTAGCAGGGAAAACCTCCACTGGAACAGGCGGGGAACTCTGCTCAACAACCTCTGTTAAAATTTACAAAAGACAAATTAATACATTTATTAATGACATGCCTGTGATATGCTTTGATTAAATGTTTAAGAATTAAAGCAGGCTTTCCCCCCCTCTTTTTTCAGCCTGTTTTGAGTCTGTCCTGTCCTGTACAATTCAGCCACCCCACTTGACACTCCCTTTCCAGTCCCACAGTGCCAACATGAGCATGACTTTTCATTACCATGTTGATCAGGGGGCAGATATAGACACTGCCCAGTGGCTATTTGTGCTCAAAAGTGGGGAAGTGCAAAGGCCAGCGGAGCCCCCATAAAATCAGAAAAAGCATCAATTGTATTTTCTCTCTTGGAGGTGGCCCTTCATCAGCAAGCATTGCACTAATAATTAATACAACCCCTTGCAAAAAAAAAAAAAAATCTGGAATTACCAGTAGTCAAAATCAGACTACAATCATAGGCATGACGCAAAACAAATAATTTTAAATGGTAACTTTAAGAAACACAAAACAAGAAAAATATGAGATTTGGTCACAGTTAATTGGACCAAGCAGAGGGAAAAATATGGAATCAATCAATTCTGAGGAAAAAAATTGAATTGTGAAAAACAACAACAAAGTAATACTTCAACACACCAGTGGTACTTTGTTGCACCAACTCTGACTTTTGTAACAGCTCGCAACCTCAAAAGGCTTGATGAATGACAAACAGTACCCTTCATCAATCTGACTCCAATTTTGTCTGATTGTTTTTGCCAGAGCAACTTTGCGGGTTGGAAGCATCATGAAAACTGATTTCATCATCGCCCAAATCAAATTTTCAATTGATGGGATAAGAAAGTGTCCAAAAATAATGTAAACTTGTGCATTGACTGAAGGTGTAATGACGGCCTCCCAAGTGCATTCACCCGACACGCGGCCTGATATCATCGACTGTTGAAATTTGCATGTTTTCTTCAGGCACTCGTCTTTATGAATCTCCAATGGAAGAAAAGTTCCAGCATCATCACCTTGCCCAATGCATATTTGTGACTGATCACTGAATATGATTTTCATCCAGTCATCCACAGACAACGATTGCATTTCCTTAGCCCATTGTAACAGATATTTTCCTGCTTAGGCATTAATGATGGATTTCATTTAGCTTTTCTGTATGTAGATCCTATTTCCTTGCGGCAGTTTCCTAAAGTTCGGTTACAGATGTTGTCTCGAGTTTCCTTCGATTCATCCCCCATTTATTTGGCTGTGCATTTTCTGTGTTGATATCTTCCGTGGTCTACCGGTATGCTTGCCTTTAAAAACCTTCCCACGTTGTATGTACTTGGTCCAGATTTTAGACACAGCTGACTGTGAACAACCAACATCTTTTGCAACATTGCGTGATGATTTACCTTCTGTAAGAAGTTTGATAATCCTCTCCTTTATTTCAAGTGAGATATTCCGTGATGAAGCCATGATTCATATCAGTGCACTTGGTGCAACAGCTCTCCTAAGTGTGATCACTCCTGTTTTTCCTGCAGACTAACGAGCAGATCTAATCAGATGCAAGTCTAAGTTTTGGGAATGAAAATTGAATAAGTCCTTTTTTCCTGACATTTTTCCCTCTGATTGTTTTGCTTGATTTCTTTGAGCATTTGTTCAACCCAGAAAGTTGCCACTTAAAATGACTTTAATTTTGTGTCCTGTCTGTGATCTGTTTTTCCCCCCAACAAATTTAAAAAACTGAATCTTCTGAGAATGGGGATTGCATAGTTTTTGCTAGAAGTTGTATAATTGTGCTTATACACTCACCGGCCACTTTATTAGGTATACCTGTCCAACTGCTCGTTAACACTTTTTTCTAATCAGCCAATCACATGGCAGCAACTCAGTGCATTTAGGCATGTAGACATGGTCAAGACAATCTCCTGCAGTTCAAACCGAGCATCAGTATGGGGAAGAAAGGTGATTTGAGTGGCTTTGAACGTGGCATGGTTGTTGGTGCCAGAAGGGCTGGTCTGAGTATTTCAGAAACTGCTGATGTACTGCGATTTTCACGCACAACCATCTCTAGGGTTTACAGAGAATGGTCCGAAAAAGAAAAAATATCCAGTGAGCGGCAGTTCTGTGGGCAGAAATGCCTTGTTGATGCCAGAGGTCAGAGGAGAATGGCCAGACTGGTTCGAGCTGATAGAAAGGCAACAGTGACTCAAATAACCACC